GAATTAAATTTGAGGAAAATAAGGAATATTTTGGTCTTGTCTGTTGTTCCATTAATAGAGAATGAAAAAAAATAAACAATTAAAAGATGGTGTCTCCTTCTGACAATGAGAGACAATTTTACTAACAGGCTGAAATCCTGTTGCTATAAATTATGTGACATAAGATTGATCATGCCATCAGCCTTACGAGGCATAATTTAACAGCAACAGGATTTTAGCCAGTACATGGTAACCTATTTTCTATTTTCTTAAACTATTGTCTGGAATTATTACAATTTTCTGCCAGTAACGCCAGAGATGTAACTTTCAGGGGCAAATTACCACCAGTTAAGAAATCAGAGCATACATTTCCTACTGAAAGTGTTATCCTACTGCTCGTGTTATCTTGGCGGAAGAAAATCTTCTCTTGAAATACTCTTTATTTCCAGATTTTCTACTATTAAGCCCTGTAGGCTGTGGGCTGGTTTGTCCCAGGGGGATAGGAAATCTGCAGTGGGTGTGTCCTCTTCTTTTGATATGGACATTTCTACTTTCTTCCAGGAACATTTGTGGATTTTGGAACAATTTCGACTCATGTACACAGTGGGCTATTCCCTGTCTCTGGTGGCTGTCCTGGTGGCCCTGGCACTCTTGGCAACTTTCAGGTATTGGAGAAGGCGAAAAGAAAAAAAGGAGGGCGTGGGCGTCAGATATCACAGTGGTTCCGCACCTTGGGTCTCCAGGTGTTCGTGGACTAAAACTCCCAGAAATCCTGGCCAGCCACAGTGAGTGGTGAAGGCTTCTGGGAGTTGTAGTCCAAAAACATCTGGTTGGGACCCAAGGTGGGGAACCCTTGGAATATCGGATGGATACAGCTAGTCATTTTACTGGAAGGATCGGGGACTGGCAAGGTGTCCACACAAAGACAGATCTTTTGCTATGGGGATTGCCAAGGTCCATGGTCACTTCCGACATCAGTCCTGTTGCTTCCTTCCTTCCCACCCCATCTTGCTGTTGCTTTCCTCCTCTTTCCGATTGGTCAGAGATGTCCAGGAATAGACTTCTTCTTGAGCTGGGTCTCCTGGATGCTGCTAAACACCTCCGGAGAAAAAGAGCCAGCCTGGGTTGCCTTGGGCCAGCTGCACACCATCCCAGGGCTCCCCCTAGAGGAAGGGAAGGGTAAACCACTTCTGAGTATTCTCTATCCGGAAAACCTTGGAGGGGGAAAAAGTTGGCCTAAGTCAGAATTGACCTGACTGCACATGATGATGATGAGAATGATGATGATGATGCACCTTAGCTTAAAATGCCCACTGTCCCTTTGCTGAGTGCTTATTCTTAAGAAAAAGTCATATATGTAGGTAGGAAGAAGGGGATGCATTAATTTATTTTTTTTTAATAAACGAAGACTCCCATCAAAGCATTTTCTTAATCAAGCAGTAGCTTGACAATTAAAGAATCAAGCCTATGATGCAGATCAGTAGAGCTTGGTCAAGGAATACAGAAGCCCTAGGTCAAATGATATGATGCAGATCAGTAGAGCTTGGTCCTGCCCATTAAACATCAAGGAATACAGAAGCCCTAGGTCAAATGAAGCCCTAGGCTAGCTGCTTTGGCTCATGGTTCGATGTGCAGATTGTATTGCAGCTGACTCCTTCCCTCCTGTTTCTCCCACCTGCCCCTTCAGGAAACTTCGGTGCATCCGGAATTACATCCACATGAATCTTTTCCTCTCCTACATGCTTCGGGCTGTCTCCATCCTTGTCCGGGACACCCTGCTCCGGCTACGCTTTCCTGAGGAATTCCAGAAGGAAGGCGATCTGTCCCTACTTCCTATCGGACAGGTACTGTTCCCCATTCCGTGGGGCATCCCGTGGTAACTGAGATGGGGTGGAGCTTAAAAGGAGCATAGATTAGAGAGCGAAAAGACTACAACTCTTAAGAGTCTTCAGTAGCTGTGCAAGATGGGGAATTCTGGGATTTGTAGTCCAACATGAAGGACTGGTGGGGTGGCAGCTGGGACTTTAGTTTCAATTTCCTCCTTTCTCTCTCTCTCTTTCTTGGCTGCTCAGGCTGTAACTAGCTGTCGCCTAGCACAAGTCTTGACTCAATATTGTGTCTGTGGAAACTACTACTGGCTCCTGGTGGAGGGCATCTACCTCCACAACCTGCTGGGACCGATGACCTTCTCCGAAGAGAGCTATTTCCCAGGCTATCTGCTCATTGGATGGGGTGAGTCCGCGGAGGCTAGTGCCATGTCCGGACAAGAAAATATACTGCCTCCGCTGAGCGATGCATTTCTTTGACGCTTGATTTCACATCCTGCCCTTTAAAACTCTGTCCCATTTATTTTGGTGTAAACATTTACGGATGAGAATCCAGTCCTTCAGACACAGGGAATGCAGTGTTTAAGACACAAGGATATAGACACAGTGTGCCCAATTATAGGGTTGGGGACCCTGTGCAACGAGATGCAGAGAATACAAATGGCATTCTTCACACAGGCAGTGAACATTCAGAAGTGTTGACCGCACAATTGGTAGAGTAATAAGTGCATGTGTATGCCGACAGTCTCTGGTTAGACGGTTTGCCTTTGAAATGCACATATACATTCTTCCTTTTTCTCCCTAAGAAGTATTGGTTGTGCGGAGACCAGGGTTTTGCAAAGCAAACTAAAATTTTAGCTATACCTGCAGGGAAAGCCTACACATTCATATGTATGGGCTGAGATCCAGTCGTTAAGTCCATCGGTTCCACTGATTTATTGGGCCTACTCTAGTTTCGATTTTCAGCTGGATTACAGCAGTGGTCTGCTAAAAAAACAAACAACCCCCCCCTTTCTTCTGTCTTCCTACGCAGGGTCACCAATACTTTTTGTTATCCCTTGGGCGATTGTGAGATACCTCTATGAAAACAATGAGTAAGTATATCTGTCTTGAGCCTTCCTCTTCCTCCTCCTCCTCAATCCCCACCACCAACATCCCCCCCCTTTTGTCCAAGGACCTTAAAACCGTATACCTCTTTCTTACCCTCCCATCTCTCTCAAGAATCTTTTGAGCCAGGTTGCTACGGCTTTCATGGAAGTAAAGAAAGCATTATGTTCCAGTCGTAGGTCTAACCGTAGTGGTCGGCCAAGGATAAGAGAGAGAGAAGCTGTTTTATAGCAAGTCAGACCTACGATAACCTAGGCTTATTTGTCATACTTACATCTTGCTTCCCACCCACCCACACATCCTACACAGCTTTGCTCCTCACTTTATCCTCACGACAACCTGGCAAGGTAGTCAGGCTGTGACAGGGTGACTGGCTCACGGCTGAGGGAGGTTTTGAACTCAGCTCCCCCAGGTCGTAATCCAAAATTCTCGCCACAACCACCACACGGGCGCCGTAGCATTCCCAGCAGCCGGTTCGGAGTTCTAGAGAGGGCCCTATTCCCACTCGGAATTGCTGAGGATCAGGACCTGGGATTTTGTCCGTGAACGCCTGTGCTCAGCCACTGAACTAAACCTCGAGACATCGCTGCTATTTTCTCTCCATTCTTGCATTCCACTGATGCCTCTTTCAATGATATATATATTTTTTGCCCCCAGATGCTGGGAGAGAAATGACAACCTGGGCTACTGGTGGATCATACGCTGCCCGATCCTGCTGGCCATCTTTGTAAGTGGTAGAGGGAAAGAGGAACGGACCTCGGCTATACCTGAATGTTGGTCGTCCCTTTCCTCCTGGACCAGCAGCTGTTGCTTGCACAAGACCTCCACGGGCTTAGCTTGCGGAGTCTCTTCCCCCCCACTTCAACCCATGGAGATGCTCTGAACCAGCAGATGTGGTTCTGTGGTATTGGCAATAGGGCTGTGCTCTCCTTATTCCCAGTATCCTGTCTGCACCGGCAGGGAAGACGGAGCAACCTGGGGTTTTGCTAGGGAGAAGGGCACGTGAAGAAGCAGATGGACTTAGCTCCTCCCCTGGTGCCCTGTGGCTTTACCTCTGAGGATCTCACCCTCTATCCTGGTGATTCCCAACCTTGGGACCCCAGCTGGTCTTGGACTACAACTCCCAGAAATCCTGGCCAGCAGAGCTGGTGGTGAAGGCTTCTGGGAATTTGAGTCCAAGAACATTGGGTTGGCTCAAGGTTGAGAAACACTGCAACCAACTAGTCCCAGTGGGCATTGGTTACCGTGGCTAAGTAGAGGGACCCCATGGAGGACCTTTGCATCCAAACTAGCCCGTTGTCGCTGGACGACCACCTCCATAGTCAAAGGCATACCTCTGAAGACCAATGGCTGGAGATCAGAAATAGGAGAGTGTTTTGCTTCTGGGTTCCCCGCAGGTATGCGGTTGGGCAAAATGGGAGTAGGATGTTGTGCTAGAGAGAATTTTGGGCCGATCCAACAAGACGGATCTTTTGGGTTTATGAACGCTGGAATTGCAGAACCCCCATGTCTGAACTCTTGCGCTTTTTCCTGCTTCCCCCAGGTCAACTTTGTGATATTTATCCGCATTATCAGGATTCTGGTCTCCAAGCTCCGGGCGCAACAGATGCCTTACACGGATTACAAATTTAGGTAAGGAGACAAGTTCTCTGCCAGCAAGGAAGATGTTGAATTGTGAAGGACGACCCAGGATCTGTGCTACGTTGCTGGATGCCAAGGGCAGGAAATAAGGCAAAGGAGCTCAACTAAAGTGGGGGACGTGGGATTGATGATTATAGAGCCTGGGAAGGACTCAGAGGCAGGTGCACGGACTAGAACATGGTCTTTATTCCTCTTGGTTAGGCTGGCCAAGTCAACGTTGACCCTCATTCCCTTGCTGGGCATTCACGAGGTGGTATTCGCACTGGTCACCGAGGAGCAGGCGCAGGGCACGGTGCGCTACATCAAATTCTTCTTTGAGCTGTTCCTCAACTCCCTCCAGGTAAGAGGCACATCTGGATCTCGGAAGCTGCCGGTAGAGGCAGGGGGAATCCGTTGCCAGTGGATGGGGAATGTTCAAGGGGGTGGACTGGGCTCTTCTCCCCTGACTTTATCCCCCCCAGCAGTCCTGTAAGGGAGATCAGGCTGAGAAAATGCAAGGGCATTTTTCTCAATAATAAAATGCAAAGCTACCCTAGTGAGCTTCATGCTCAAACAAGGATTTGAACTCAGGCCTCCAGAGTCCGAATCCAATACTCTAACCATGACACTTCCCTTACAACAAATTAAGCTGTTGTAAAACCTACATACAGCCGCCTGGCGGACGCATCAACTCTTATGGATGATGCTATTTTTTAATTTTGTCTTCCAGGGTCTTCTGGTGAGCGGTGGATGCATCAACCCTCATGGATGATGCTATTTTTTAAATTTTGTCTTCCAGGGTCTTCTGGTGAGCATCCTTTACTGCTTCATCAATAAAGAGGTAGGTCATCGGGAAAACCCACCCACCTGGCTGTACAAGCCCAAAGTAGTGGTTCATTTAATTGTTCCTTCGAGACCAGCCCCCTGCAAAATACTTTGCATTCAAACAAGAATCGCTGCAGTAATACAAGAATGCTGGAGAAATCCTTCATGGTACCACCATGAAATTCAGAAGGATCAAGTCATCTTATTCCCAACCCGTGCTGTGATTTCCCCTCCTGCAAATCCTGGCTCTGTCACACCCCTGGCAGCAACCTCTCTTTCTGTTTCCCCCCTCCCTCCAGGTCCAGTCCGAGATCCAGAGAAAGTGGCGGGGGTGCCTATTAGGTGCCGGCCGGCTTGAGAAGCAAGGGCAGAGCTGGAGCCACTGGGCGTCTTGGCGCAGCCGAAGCAGCCACCGGAAAAAGGCCGGCAGTTCCTGCCCTCCCGGCTGCCCGGAACGAACCGGTCCTCCGAAGGGCTTTGAAAACCCAGGAGGCACACGGATGCAGCCGCAGACCCAGCTGGGCAGTAGACCTTACGGCTATGTCCCTATCAAGATGAAGATTGAGGATCAGGCCGACGTGCCCACTGCCACCAAGGAGGTGCCCGCGTGCCCTTCCAGGGGCCCTGAAGCCATCTGCTGATCCCCGGTTTCTTTCCAAGCTACGAACAAACTTTGCGCCACCTGGGAGGCTTCCACACCAGTGTGCTTGAGAGAGCCAATACCGATGTGAACTCTGGGGACAAGGGGCGAGCCGTAGCGCTCTCTATATACATAACGAACAAACCTGCATTCAGTGTTCTGCGTTCAGTGAGCAGGAGATGATGCTTGTGCAAAAAACGTGACACCTTCCTTTTTGTCCTGGATAGAGCAGGATTGCCAAGAGGAAGCGACACTTGGACGGGCTTATTAGCTGCCTTTAGCCTGGTCGCCTGGGATGTGTAAGAATCACCCTAGGCGACCTGATCTGGGAAAGTTTATAAACTGGAAGAGAGCATATCCTGTTTAGTTTTTTTTTAAACATGTCCTTGGACATATCACAGGAACAATTTTACATAGCCGGGTGACTCCTAGCAACAATTTATGTAGGCTAGTCCTTTTTGTCAAGAAGTGTTAAGTGATAATATCATCACTTATAAATGATATCAAGTCCACCCTCTAGATCTGGTTTCTTGTATCAGTTCATGCATCCTTCAAGGTCCTGGAGCTGAGATGTGCTACTTGGTTGGTGGACTATAACACCCATCATCCTGAGGTCCAGTGGCTACGGTATTCTGAGACTTTAGACTCACACCAAAACACACACACATTTTTCTAACTTGGCATGCCGTTTGTGGCGTTTGGCAGTCCAGCAACCGTTTCCCATTTCAAGCGACCGAGTCATGTCAAACTCTTGAAAAGCGACACTAAAAATAATCGTAAGCTGGGGACACGGCTCCCCAACTGGCATGGAAGTGGAAAGGAGAAGGGCCTTATCCTTCACATAACAAGAATTACCGAGGGAGTCAAGCTGGCTTCCTCCTTCTCCTCCTGCAAGGAGTGTGTCCTGCCCCTCACCTGCCATCCATGGATCCTTAGCCCTGAGGCAAGGAGAGAATGGCAAGAAAGCAGTAAAGCCAGAGTGGAGAAAGTGTGGGTTTGGACTGTGGGTAATTTTCCCGAGCCTGTTTTTGCAAACCCAGCCCCACTTTTCCTTAGAAAAAAATGTGAAGTGTATAGACCCTGAAACTTTCCAGGAGCGAGGAGTCACCTACTGAAGAGGTTACAGCACACTGAACTGTTTCACACACCAAAATCCTTGTGGTTTAAAGCCATCTCCAGCATCCTTTTTTGGGGGGTGGGTGGGTTTTAATGCCACAGATAACCAGAACTTTGGGGTCTCACCTCAGATCTCCAAGTTGGTTGGCACCTTAAGATCTGTAGTGCCCAACCCAAGCTTATTGTAAGCCGCCCAAAGAACTTCTTCGGGTAGTGTGGGCGGCATAGAAGTTCAATAAATAAATAAAAAAAATAAGTTCCAGCACCCTTGGTCTCTATGCATTTCTGCCTTTAAATAAAAAAAATAAGTTCCATCACCCTTGGTCTCTATGCATTTCTGCCTTGCTCAAAACTGCCATTTCCCCATCCCCTCTGCGCAGAGAGATAACGAACCTATTGTCCTCTCTCGAAGGGAGGTGGCAGAAGGATTGGGGAACCTCCCCCTGTTAAAATCCAATTACTGTGCAGTAGTAGCTTGATGGTAACATGATGTTCCAGATTTCCAAACTTGAAGCAAAAATATCAAAGTGATGGTACAGTCACTAGTGGGTTTATTTTATTTTATTTTATTTTTGCACGATTTCGGGAAAGCTGTCCCCCGACCCCACCCCCAGTGGGTCCCAGCGATGAAAAATTAACTTTTTGATCCTTTGATATTTAGCCCTCTTTGTGCACTAAACATATGGTTCCTCGGTCACATCACCTGGAGCTGCGGAGGGATTAGAATATAATTTGTAAAGACCACGTTACTCACAGCACAATGAGTAAAAACTTCCCTCTTTTGCAGTGTGGGTGTAACAAAATCCCATTCCAGGAGCCAAAAAAAATAAAAAAATAATTCAAGGCACTGTATGGGTGTAGCATGTAATGATTTCCAATTACAGTACCTTTTATACCTCTTTTGAAAAGTGCTATTTTTAGATGCATTGCACCAGAAACAGTGGTGCTTTCATGCTATTCTCTTATCAACTCTGAGGTGTGTCTTTTAAAGCCATCAAAAGCAAAGCAATAACAACCAGGAATGTCGAGGAATGTTATAAATGCCCAAGAAGTTATTCACACAGTAATGGCAATGCATTATGTTTTAAGTACACTGTTAACACCCATGGTTAAAAAGTAACTTTGCAAGCTCTGGAAGGGAATTTCCCTTCTAATCCCATCATCCCTAGCTGGAGTTGCAGTAAAGGTAATCATCACGTCATCTAATCTTGGGCAGGCAGACTTTTTCTCTTCTGATCACATCATCCTGAGCGAGGGGTGGGGCTTAGAAATATCTGATTTCGTGTATTTCACAATCCAGAAGGCTGTCCATATAAAAAGGCCAAGGGTGGGAGAGACCTCCAGTTGACCTCTTCCTCTTTGCTGGCAAGTCAGGATTTCTTGGAAAACTTACTGGAATCCAGGTAAGTCCAATTTAGGATGGAATGATTTAGAGGCTGGCAACATGGGGGTGTTTATCTGGCTCTGTGGCAGAAATGCTTGGGAGTGCTCTAAAAAAATGTCAATTACCCGAGGTCAGAGTGCTCCAACCTGTCCCTAGATGTGGGTGTTTTTTTTATTTTTATGATGATGTGTACAAGGTAATTGTGGCCTAGCCGTGGCTGAGGATGACACCCTCTCTCTTATCTGGAAATGAAAACGGGCATTTTTATTTCAATTTAATTTTTTAAAAGATACTTTCGCCCTGTGGCTCTCCATCCCTTAAGGGCTAAGGGCCATTCCTTGTTGCTGATGGGGCTCTATCCTAACAAAGCTGAATATTCAGGATTGTCTGATTTAAGATGAGTTAGGCTTAACTGTTACAGTCCTTCCTTTTTTTGAAGCTTTTTGTGGGTGGGACCGCAGCAAGCCCTTTTCTATTTAAGCTGGTTTTCGGGGTGACGGGTTAACCGATTGCTGGGCCCTTGGCAGGAACCCCGTCCTTCAGCATGGATCCGAACAGTGAGGCTGCCTCTCTTCGGAAGAGAAGTCTGCACTCTGTACATGCCTAGGAGCACTTTACTCTCAGACATTTCCAGTAGGGTGGCGGCCCTTTACGCCGATTCCAGTAAAACCAGTGAAGGACCTTCTCTTCACTTTAAATAGCTACAAATTCGGCTCCCGGGGACTGCCGCTAACAACTTTTCTTCACGGACCTCTGAATAAAGCTTTAGTATGTTTAAAAAAAGAAGAAGAAGAAGTCTTAAGGGCAAAACCAACAAAAATAATATTGCAGTTTATTGCTTGAAATGCCTCAGGAAAACTGCACACTCTATGAGACATGATGCCCAATAAAACATGTGAGTCTTCAAGGTTCCACAGAACTCTTTGTCGGTTTTGTCGTTAGACTTCTTCTTTTTTTCTAAACACAGATGCTAGTAGAGCAAGCAAGAATAACCGTATTTTCTGTGGAGGGTAGCAAGGCGCTCTGTACATGCTCAGAGGCTCTGACTTGCATGGGGGGGGAAACCCTCGAAAGTTCAGCTCGAGGAAAGCCCTGAAGAACAGCTGGAAGGCCAGCTTGGACCTGTTTGAGCAATAACCAGCATCCTCCCCCGCCCCCGGGATGGGCACAAAGCTCTGAATAGGACAGAACTACAACTCCCAAGCGCCTTTGCGGCGGAGCGAGCGGGGAGGGGGCCGAGGAACGGAGCGTGTTGGGAGGGCGGCCCGGGATTGTACTCCGCTGGAGAGAGGGGGGGTCGGTGGGCAGGAAGGGTGGGCGCATGCGCGATGCCGATCCAGGAAGTCAGTTGCCTTGCAAAGTGCAGAGGTGGGACCTGGCGTTGTGCACCGGTCCAGGTGCGCGGCAGGTAAGGGACTGGGAGAGGCGGGAGCTGTTCGGGGAGGGTGGAGGAAGAAAAAATATCAACCCAGCTTGGAATAAATGCAAGTTTGAGAGGCAGGGAGCGTGGGTGGGTGGGTTTGGGGGTTGCCACCTTCTTTCTTGAGCCCTGCGCCTCTGCTTTTTAAAAGCAACCCGAGACACAGATTGGAGTAAAGGCATTTATTATCAGGGGAATAAGATAATGCTCAGGGAGGATCTTCCTTTGCTTGTTTTCTCTGTGCCAGACACGGGGGAATAAGTCCAGAATTTTCCACCTTATTCCAAGGTTCACAGATGCCAGATGAGTTCTGTCCCTCAATTTATGGTTGATTGCAGTCATCCTTTCAATTATTAACCCGGAAGGGCCACAGTTGTTTCTCTGGTTTGGCAGCTTTTTTGGGGGGGGGGGAAGAGGAACATTCTCCGTGAAAAGAAAAAATGTGGCAGCCTTATTTGAGGAAGGAAAACCTTGTCATCCTAGCCATGATGTGGCTTAGTTAGTGGATGCTGGATGGACTCTTTAAGAGAGGACCTATGATGCATTTAGGGATAACTTTCCCTGTAATGCAATTTTTTTTGCAAAGGTATTTGGATAGCCCGTGGCAGGAGGGTGAATGCATCTAGAGCTCCATGGAGGGTTTGTGCCAAGCTTGAGGAAGTGGTCCCCCCCCCCAAAAAAAATTGCAATTTGTATGATTGTATAGTGGTCCAATAAAAGGTATCACCCACTTTGAGGAAGTGGTCCCCCCCCCAAAAAAAAATATTGCAATCTGTATGATTGTATAATGGTCCAATAAAAGGTATCACCCACCCTTACATTTAGGATGTAGAAGAGGAAACGCATGTAAATGTCCTTCTTGCAGTAATTCAAAGTCTTTCGTGGAAGGTGCACATGCTGGAAGTTTTGCCTTTCCACAATCCGGGCTTTCCTGCCAAGGCAAAGGACATTGTGAAGGACGTCCAGTGAATTCCCTAAACAAGTTTTAGGGAATTCACTGTCATAACACCTTAAATAGGAACAGCCCCAAACCTTGGTTGCCAATTCCGATACAAACCAGGGAGGAAGAGCAGCTGTGAGT